TTTTTTTTTTTGTTACTACATTTTATTGCAAGCAATACCTCAAAAATTAACATGTGAAACAAAATGGAGAATCATCGACCATGCAAGAGTTAATAACTTGGTTTCCCAGCGTACAGATGGCAGCACGGAACTGAAACCTGCAGAGACATCTATTCAATCGTATATAAAGTTCAGTCTTATAGAAAGTTACCATCGAAATACAATAAATTATTTGTTACCATGTTACAAACAAATTACCGAGAATATATATAATAGTAGATAAGAAATTAATAAATAGTCGTCAGTCGTAATTCATCCATTAAATTCTGTATCATGTAAACGTTAAAATAAATTATAAAATTTTCCTTTAGTAGTACGGTGACTTTATAATTTATCGATCGTCGTACATACAAACCGCGCTTATTGAAAATAGTTTGGAAAACTGTCATAATGTTATACAATATATTTTAGCACGAGATAATTAAAATTATATAGTATTTCTAATATTTTTAAGTATTATTAGATTTTTTTACAGTATCTTTAAGATGATATAAAAATTTTAAAATTTCTTTTGTTATACCGGTGTATACAATTTTTTAGAGACTCGTACAAATATTCTAAGAGAAAATTTCTTATTGTTTATTCCTTAAAATTAAAGATTTAGACTCTATATACACATGTTCATTTTCTGTGTTCTAATGACCATTTTAGACTCTATATACACATGTTCATTTTCTGTGTTCTAATGACCATTTTTTTTTTTTTTTTTACGTGGAGGAAATCTTCATAAGACACCTGAGTCTTTTAAGGGAGGACCCCAAGGTAGTATCGAATTTTTACCGACTGAAACCTCCACACGATAGCTGTCCTTTGCACGTTGGAAGAGCTCCTGGACCTCCTTTTTATACACACAGAAAGCTCTCCCCCCGTGTTGTTCTAAAGGATGTCTTTTTTTTTTTTTTTTACGCCCGAACAGGGGCTCGAACCCTGGACCCTCAGATTGGGGGTCTAATGCTCTATCAACTGAGCTATCCCCACCTTACATTGTTCTAATGACCATAAAACATGATAAGATAGGTATAATTTCTTCTCTTCGACAACTTTCTTGTTTAATAAAAAGAAAAAAAAAAAGTCAAACGTTTTTTTTTTTCGCTTCGTACTTACTTCGAAATATCCGCTAATTTTTACATTTTGTCAAGTAACAAACTTTCCCTTCGATGTCCATTTGTCCAGGCTGCTCGAAGAGATCCGCAGGAACAGCACGTTGATCATCATTGGCGAAACGGGAAGCGGCAAGACAACGCAGATCCCGCAACTGCTGCTTTCGTCCGGTATCGCTGGCACTTCCGGTTGCATCGGCATCACCCAGCCGCGAAGAGTGGCCGCGGTGAGCGTTGCCCGGCGAGTTGCGCTAGAGCAAGGTGTAGAAACGGGTAAATTGGTGGGTTATTGCGTGCGTTTCGAGGACGTGACGTCGTCGCAAACGAGGATCAAGTACCTGACCGATGGTATGATGGTCCGCGAGGCGATGACCGACGAGATTTTATCGGATTATTCAGTGGTGATCCTCGACGAAGCCCACGAACGATCGGTGCAGACTGACGTGCTGCTCGGCGTGGCGAGGAGGGCGCAGAATTTACGAAAGCTTAAGAACCTGCCGCCGTTGAAGTTGCTGGTAATGTCAGCCACGATGGACGTCGATAAGTTCAGCAAGTATTTCCAAGCGCCGGCACTGTACTTAGAGGGTCGTCAGCATCCGGTGAAGATTTATCACGCCGTCAAGTCGCAGGAGGATTATGCGTTCTCCGCCCTTGTCACAGCTTTCCAGATTCATCGCGACAGCCCTGCCAAGTAACTAGTCCCTCCTTTTAGTAAATCGCTTGTTATTTACCACAGGCCACTGAAAACTGAAAAAAAAAAAAAACTCACAACTCGTTCTTCTTCTTTCTTTCCAGTCTTTCCAGCTGTTTTTTTTTTTTACTAATATTTTAATTGTCATTAAAATCGCGATACGAAAAGTGTATCAGTCACTAAAGTGTACATTTTACGTGACAATTGCAAGGAAGAGAAATATCGGCCACTTACTTTTATTAGATTAGAGTAATCTCTCTTTCGAGCTGGCCCAGCGAACACAGAGCAGACGATCTTCAGATTTTTCAGAATATTTTCCCATGCTTCTTTTCAGCGAGGATATCCTGGTCTTTCTAACCGGGCAAGAAGAGATCGAGGCCGCGGTTCTGAGCGCGAGGCAAGTAGCTAAACAACTGGATGGACAGGGTTATCCGCCATTGAAGGTGTTTCCATTGTATTCGGCTTTGCCGACGCATCAGCAATTGGAAGCCTTTAAGCCGTCCGCTCCTGGAATGAGAAAGCTCATTTTGTCTACCAACGTGGCTGAAACTTCCGTTACCATTGGCGGTACGTATGGATTCATGAAATTCTATTATTTTTCATCTTTCCAGTTGCTCCTTCGTCTAATCCTTTTAACTGGTCTGTAACTGATAGTTTAAAAACAAACAAAAATTTGCTCGTACGAGGTCTCGTTTTTGAGATTGTGTCTGAAAATGATATTAAGTGATTTATTTATAGTCGAAGCAAGCGCTTGTGTTATTAGCGACTTCTTACAATTCATCATAAGGGTTAGACTGTCTTGGAAAGTGTATTAGTTTTAGGGCCGATTCTTTGTTCTTTAGGGAAGGATTTATATTCAGTTGATATATTTTCTGCACTGGATAATAATATGC